GTAGAGTTAGAAGAATATCATTATTTTAAACTATTTTTGCAACAGAGAAAATTCACTCGGAAAATGTGTTTTTTCATTTATTCTCAAATCACTAATTATTATAATAATCAAAATTTTAAGTGAATATGGGAAATTCAACTGTTGTTTTTCATCGCCTTCACGCAAAAATTATTCTCTCCTCTCTCTAAATAAGGGACTATTATAAAAAAAGGAAAATACAAAGAATAAAGAAAAATAAAAAGAATAAAGAACTGGAATCAGTCAATTTTTATTGAATAAATAATTAGTTTTCAAAATCGAAATAATGGATTGCCGATCTCGATAATGATTGTATTTAGAAAGAAATGTCGTGATTATTTTTTCAGCTGAAAAATTCATCTCCTCAAATTGTTTCCAAACATTTCATTCTGAAATTCCGCACTATCGGGAATTTCAGAATTTAGCGAGTGATGAAAAATGGAGTCATCAAGTTTTATCTCTCAACTGTTGATTTTAATCATCTCTTGATATGAATATCTTATTCCTAGTGCAAACAAGTGACTAAAAATGAGTCAACACAGTTGAGTCACTCCTTGACTCACTCAACCTCGTGTACTACCCATAAATCCACTACTAATTTTCACTCTAAAATTGTCTACCGAGGCTCACAGGGCTCGACCTGCTCATCAGATAATACTGTCCCTGGAAACAACGTATATTGAGATGAGCCACCCACAGCGGTAGCGAGGGGTGAGAGTGCGGCAGAGGAGTTTATGTACACAATTCAGACACGAAGGATTAACCGTTACGCGTTCAAGCAATCACGGGGTGGGTTTATACACTGGTGTGTGTATTACGCACTACAGCCAAGCGAATATCGGCGTAATCAAGCCCAACGTGAGGGCACATGCGTGCCTAGACGTAATGAGAGTCAGGGAATATATCCAATGGGTTTAAAGTCAAGGGGGAGTTCCTAAGTGTATGCTGTGCGGGGATATAAATTTGTTTGGTTAATGGATTTTGATAAAACTTTGTTACTTTCAGATCAAGAGTTTTATCTTTCGACATTAGTTTTAAAAACGAGTCAGATATTTTTTTTTGAATTTTTTTAATCAATTAAAAATGAAAAGAGGAAAAAATTGAAATTCATTGGAGGAAAATTGTTTACTCCTTCAAAATGGTTTGTCAAGGGGTAGAAATGCTTGAGTTTTCAGTAAAATTCTCTGAACTTTAGAACTCTGTCGCAATAAAATTTAATGAGCGAAAAAAAACAGAAATAAATCAAATTTGCACTTAACTTTTGCTTGAATTTTGTATAATTAATGTATTTTTTTTTCGAAAATTTAAGTTTCTCGTGTCTTTCATAAATTTTAAATACTTATGAAATTTATAATTCTATCTTTATGATATTTATCAATCCGTTGTTATTACAAATATATCATCTACTAGAATTTCAGGGAATTTTGGGATTGGAAATTTTAATTTTGATCGAAAAATCAATGGAAACAATAAATTTCAGTTCAATTATTCAACAAAAATTGATAGAAATCAATAAAATTTAGGTAAATACATGCGTGAATGTTAAAAAAAAAATTCTCTCCTTCCCGTTGCTCTTAAATTTCGCATTTCAATTCAATCATTCCACAAAAATAAATAAAACTCCAATTTCATTGAATTTTCATTAAAATTTGAATTTTCATGATTACTCTTCCCACATGAAATTCAATGTCACTCCCCCAAAAATGACTATCCAACCGTCCCTGAAATTTAAATTTTTTTCTGACAACATAAATAGCTTTGACTGTAAACAACAAAATAACCATGAGTTTCTCCAAATCAGTAACAAGCATCCGGCAACCAGAACCACTTTATCTCGGTGGTTTTTTTCCAATTTCCAGTTCACAACTACTTCACCCACATCCCTTCATTCTCGTCCATCAAAAACAATTGATTTGACTGCAGATAACTTGAAACCTCAAAGAGCTAAACCTCGTTGAATATGAAAAACCTCATGTTTACAGTGTGACGATGATTGAAGAGATGTCTCCATTGACCCGTACCAACATATTACACTCACCTAGGGGTCACATCAAGATTCACCCAGATAAATTGAACAAAAAACTCCTAACGTTTAACAAAACACAGGACAATGCAAAGAGCCGTCCCTCAATATGTCACGCGAGGCAAATAGACGAGCCGTACTGGATCCATTGTGACGGTTTGTCATTGTGCTGATAAAATTGTACCCAGTGTGTGTCGTCCGTCCGACTTTTTAATCCCCCCTATGTATTGTTTCATGATGAATCAATCAACTGCAGTAATTTTCGGGGATGAAAGAGAAAAATAATTATTCTGAAGAGGAAAGAAAAAACAACGCGAACGAATTCCCTTATTTATTCAGAGAGGCGTGAGGCTCGAGTTGGCGAGTGTCTGGGGGATACGTCGGATCCGTCTGGATCTGAGGAATATTGAAACAGAAAGATCTCGATCGTCGTACGGTTTCTCTCGGGTTTCGGGTTACGTCTGCGGCGAGAAGTGCACAGCGGGAATGAATGGAGACGAATGGGAAGAAAAAAATTATGTTGAAGAGAGATTATTCATCGGATGATGTACCACTGGGCGGCAAATGTCGATGTTTATCTGGGGACAAGACATCGATACTTGTCACGGGAAATGGTAGATTGATTTCACTCGGAGCGAATGATTTTCATCTCGTGTCATTACACAGAAGTTGGGTTGTTGACTCGGCGTCATTAGACAAGGACTGTGTTGTTTCATCTGATGGATAATATGTACGGGCGGAAAAGAAATGTATTTCGTCGACAGTTGACTAGTAATTTTTGGGGGAGTGGCATTGAATTCAATTTAGGCGAGAAATTTTAGATTTCAATGAAATTTCAATTTACTTGAATTTTTCATCAAAACATGAATATTCAGTGCCAAATTGCGGTGAATTTTTGTTATCTGTGCATTGAGAGAAAAAATTAGTTCTGCCAAACAATTGTATGTCCCCCTGAAGGAATCTTTTGTCGTGTTGAATCAATCTCCTCTAATAATTCACGAAAACCAATCAATTTCCGAACATTATATCGGAAAACAAAAATTACATGAATGATTCGACAAATTCAAAATGATTTTATTAACGAAAAACAATCAACTTCTTAACATTACATCAGAAAACGAAAATTACAATACAGTAGCGAAGCGGTACAACGATTTAAGTGGACTTAGCTCTTAGCTGAGTTTTCGAGGAATATCTCCGAACCTAAGGGAGATAATGAAATTTTCGTAAAAATGTTTCTTATAGCTCTCAATTTGCTCTACAGAAAAGGTTATAACAAAAATTTTGCTATCTGCCTTAGATTCTGAAATGTTCATTGAAAACTGTCAAAATCGAGTTGAACCGTTTTACCGCTTCGCTACTGAATAATGATTCCACAAAAAATCAAAACGACGAAACTCGAGTTTTCGTTAAATTGAACGATTTAATAATGCATCGACGCATATCGAGATAAAATACATCGATACCTGTCGCGATAAACATAGGATCACCGACGCAAAACCTGTGTAATGTACTCGGAGTAATTAAACCACAAAAGCCAGCGAAAGAAACGAAAGAAAAAACAAAGTGTGAGTGACCGAGTGTTTAGAGTCAACGAGCGAGACACAGATGGGTGGAGTCGGCCAAGGAGGAAAAGAAATAAACGAACCGTGACTGCAGTTAGCGAATAAAACGAAGGAGGGTGAAAAAGGCGGTCTCCACAACTTGGGACGAATTGGTATCATAACCGGTGTACGAAGTCGTAAAATGCAAATCGATCTCTTTCACCCAAACGATCCAATTTACCCACCGCAGTTCTACAACTCTCGATACAGAAATATCGGGGATATACCGAAGTGCAACTATGAATGAGTGTGTATGTGGAATTCCCGTGGGCAATTCCCTTCTGCATTTGCACAGGGTGACCTGAGGGCTGTATCAAAAACAGGAGTAACAAAAAAAAATTATAAAAAAAGTTTCCCTGCAACGTCAGCTACGTGTCTTACCACAAAAGACGGGAGAGACAATTTTCTTTTCGTGCACAAATGCAAATCCCGGGTGCCGTTGTGATAAGGTTAGGGAGGGAGAGATACGGAAGAAAGAAAATTTTACAGGGGAGAGAGAGGGGTAAATGCGGAGATTTCGCTGTGACACGGGGAAATTGTTTCCGTTCTGACATTCTAATTTAACGAAACGTCGCCTGTGGCGCACGTATGGCAGATTGCGGGAGATTTTCCTGCATTAGTTGATGGTTTTTTAAATGATCGGAAAATTGTATTCAGATCAGTCACTTTCAGGGAAGTGGAGAGACGATCCGTAGAGTGGAGCGTATTAAAACGTCAATATCTGCTAACCGAGCGATACGATTTGAGTGAATCAATGCGCGTATTGAAGGTGGAAAAAGTATCTCGAAAATGAAAGAAAAATTGTTGAATTTCACTCTGCTGATCGCGAGATATCGGCCATCGAAAATGTTGATTAAAAATTAGACGAATTTTTTCGTTTTACAAACTTCCTGGATGATTATGCTCACAACAAAGAAAAAATTTGTATTCACTTCCCACAGAAGTGGTAATACCATACCTCCCCCAGCCCTAACATATTCAAAGCCATGATAAAAAATCGTAATAAAGAAATTCCTTCATCATGATATGATTTCCCCTCAACTCGGTCACTCCTGGAACTAACGTAATCGCGTCACGTATTTTCTCCCTGCATAAATATAAATGTTTCCCGCGTTGTTCATGCTCACGGTCAGAGTTTAGAAATCCCGGAAAGTGGCCATTTACCAGCCCCTCCGAGAGGAGGCAGAGTGGTATAAAAGGGATAGGGAGATGATCCCGTAGGAAATAATCATGATACCCGAGAATCCCCCGTATTTCTGATGCCTCATAATACGCATAACCGTGAGTAATGGTTGTAGAAACATGTAACCATAACCAGATGAGAGTTGTAAAAAATATAAACCAAGGCCACTTACCGTGATCTTGAGATCCCGTGTGTCGCACGTGTCATACTGACGACTGAATCGCAGTACAGTGTGAGTTTTGTTCTCATATCCCAACAGCAGGTGGTAGTCCTGACTGGAATCCATCTGGGGATCTCGGTTCGAGTCCTTTACATGCCGGTCCTGAAACAAAAAACGGTTGAAGGATGATTAATCGCCCTGTCAAAACACTTCTTCGAGAAAAATTACCGGCGAAGACAATGGGTGGTGAAAAAATTGTGGCTCGGACGTGAATAGCATCGAGTTCTTGCTGCACTGGTGGTAATTAACGCAGTAGAAAAAATAGGGCCTGGAATTAAGACACTTTTGTCTTATTTTTTAAGACGTTTCTGTTCATAAATTTAAGTCGCCTTCAGAAAAAGAGAAAAATTCAATAAAAATTACCTGAAAAAAACGTAAAAATTACGTTCCGAAACTGAATCCGCGAGCGAAGTGAAATTTAATAAAAAGTGTGAGTCGGAACTGAAATTGCACGAATCGCCACGTAAATTCTACGATTTGTTCCGTAAAAATTAATCACCCGCCTGATGACTCACCGCTGTGGGGACAACAAGTCGTTCCGTAATTTTTCAGAAATAATTTTTCAGAAATAACTCATCAGCTTCATAAAAATTGTTGAACGTTCAAAAATTTTTCATTTTGAAGGCACAATAAGTCGGAAAGTTTCTGTAAAATTTTACTTCTTCGGGAAAAATTACGTGACAATTTCGTACTTTATTCGGAGATGAACCTGAAAATTCACTGAACGTTTCAGATTTCTTCTCTTTCATTCCTGTAAAAATTGCCGGAAAACGATTCCCCATTGCGGATTACGTGAATTGTTCCGTAATTTTTACTGAATATTTCTCTCCGTACGGATAAGTACCAAAAACATTTGATGATTTTACGTCACAAAAAACCAGTGACTGAGTAGTCCTCAAATGTCTTGAATTAGAAAACATCTTCAAGACACTGGTTTTCCCAGCGTAATTAACGACTATAAAATCCGGGAGATGGCGGAAGAAGTTCATCGGAATTCCCGCATTTGTTGGGGTTCTCATGTTTTCCCACATTGTAGAGACGGTAGGACGATTTGGTGTTGAGGGACGACTTGTGCATACGCACGAATGTTGCGCGAAGGGAAGCCCGATAGCGACAGGACGAAATTGATAGTCCAGTGTCTTTGACCGGCCTCTCTTCCCAGCCCTGGTGCTAACCCTCGTGAGATTGCGTTACGCTTTCGAGTGGCTAGTAATATCGAGTAAAAGAGGAATTTCCGCGAAGTCGGGGATTGGGTTTCCAATGGTGTGAATTTAATATGTTGGGAGTTGCAAATTGAGTGAAGTATTCGATTTGTTGCAGAAGAAGAATAGCGTATTTTTAATTACATGAACTGTACTTAAATGAAATAAATAGTTTCACTCACTTCAAATAACTAGTTTAATTCTAAATAAACACATGTATTTCTTAAAAAAATATATCATTTCACATGATTAGAACATTATTATTCAAACAAATAAAGATGTCCCGTGAAGCCCTTTCCACTCTCAGCACTTGTAAATTTCAATCTCATCAATTTAAAAATAGCCAGAAGAAAAGAAAACAAATAGCAAAATCAAACAAAGAGGTGAGAAGAAAAATAAATAATTTCCTTAGCCACTGGCAGGTTTTCACTGTAAACTAAAGTGGTTTTCTCGTGAAAAAAAAAGAATGAGTAGAAAAACGGCTCGTCGAGAGTAGAAAGAGGCGAGAATAACGTATATACTATGGGATCGATCGTTAAGACGCTTTTTTTGACACCAGTCTCGCTTGTTTTATCCAGTAGCACCCTGTTTTCTCGACTCGAGTGTCACACTTCTTTCTCTCTATTATGGGCATCCGATAGTCCCCGGGGGCCTCGAGTCACGAAAACATAGACCACCCGTTTCGCCGACATATAGCTGAACCCCCTCTGAATCAATTTTATGCACAGAAATCCATTGGCATAACTCGTCTCACATCGCTGGTACGTGTGGTGAGTATAGAGGGAATTGATAATGGGGAGGTACAAAGAGGATGAATAAAACCTGAGTAGTAGTTCTCGCCGACGATGGAAGACAAGTTTTTGCGAGTTGAGGGATTCCAGGCCGCCGCCTTCGATAATAATTACACGGGGATGGGGAGAGGCGAGTGTGGCTCCTGCATTATTGTGTGCTCGGGGAGGTGCACCCAGCGTCGCCAACTGGGGCTCGATAATTTTTTTTAAATTCTTCATTGATTTGGGCCGTGTTTAACTACAGAGTTAGAAAATAATTGAAATTTCATGGACCGTTGACTGGCAAGTCCCGGGAGAGCGACACTGAATTCGATTCGGAGGGAATGAAATCATTAAATTTCAGACTGCAGTGGAAATGCGATGAAATTTCACCTTTTTTAGCAGCGGGGAGAAGAGAATTCCCCGGTTTATTTCAATTTTTAATTGCAAAATGAACAGTACGCTGAATTCAAGTGATTTCTGAAGTAATTACGCTGAATTTAACTGATTTCAACTAATTTTCATGGAATAATTGAACTGGATTTCACATTTTGCTTTGATTTTTCCATAAAACTTGGAATTTTTAGTGATGAAATGATGTTTATTGATTTAGCCAATGTTTAGCTACACGGTTAGAAAAGAATTCAATTTTCATGGGCCGTTAACTAGTAATTCCCGGGAGAGCAACACTAAATTCGATTCGGAGGGAATGAAATCATTAAATTTCAGACTGCAATAGAAATGCGATGAAATCTCACTTTTTTTAGCAGCGGGGAGAAGAGAATTCCCCGGTTTATTTCAATTTTTAATGGCAACATGAATAGTACGCTGAATTCAAGTGATTTCTGAAGTAATTACGCTGAATTTAACTGATTTCAACTAATTTTCATGGAATAATTGAACTGGATTTCACATTTTGCTTTGATTTTTCCATAAAACTTGGAATTTTTAGTGATGAAATGATGTTTATTGATTTAGCCAATGTTTAGCTACACGGTTAGAAAAGAATTCAATTTTCATGGGCCGTTAACTAGTAATTCCCGGGAGAGCAACACTAAATTCGATTCGGAGGGAATGAAATCATTAAATTTCAGACTTACAGTGGAAATGCGATGAAATTTCACTTTTTTTAGCAGCGGGGAGAAGAGAATTCCCCGGTTTATTTTAATTTTTAATGGCAAAATGAACAGTACGCTGAATTCAAGTGATTTCTGAAATAATTACGCTGAATTTAACTGATTTCAACTAATTTTCATGGAATAATTGAACTGGATTTCACATTTTGCTTTGATTTTTCCATAAAACTTAGAATTTTTAGTGATGAAATGATGTTTATTGATTTAGCCAATGTTTAGCTACACGGTTAGAAAAGAATTCAATTTTCATGGGCCGTTAACTAGTAATTCCCGGGAGAGCAACACTGAATTCGATTCGGAGGGAATGAAATCATTAAATTTCAGACTGCAGTGGAAATGCGATGAAATTTCACTTGTTTTAGCAGCGGGGAGAAGAGAATTCCCCGGTTTATTTCAATTTTTAATAGCACATGAATAGCTAGTACGCTGAACTCAACTGATTTCAGAATTACGTTGAATTTAACGGATTTCTATTAATGTTCATGGAATAATTGAACTGAAGTTCACACTTCTCCTTAATTTTTCCATAAAACTTTGAATTTTCAATTATGTAATTCCTTGAAATTTCAGCGGAACTATAATGTGATAAAAATTTTAAACAGTAAATATTGTTGTGAAAAAAAATGAATTTTATGAACTGATGAAAATGAATTATTCGAGATAGATTTGTCTACATTTTAATCATTTTCACAGTTCTAGCGATTTTTCGGGAGTCGAATAAGACACTAGAAAACAGGGATTCATTGAAATATGAAAGAATAGTTATTCTTTAAACTCCATTTACAGCAACTGGTGCTACGTCACAGTGAATTCTGAAGCCACAAGTTGAGGATTTCGGCATATTTAATGTAGATATCTCCGTTGTGACAGTAGAATGAGATTAAAACTTCTTTGCACGAGATTTCGGACAGTTCAAAGTTCAATAAAACTGCATAAATTATAGCAAAATATCAATATTTAATTGAAGAATAAACAGATGACAAAATCCTTCAAAATGTTGGACTTTTCAATGAAAACCCGATACCCATCACGATTAATTTCATTCAGTTCTGACTAAAGGTTTCCCTCGCTGTCATTCAGTCCAAAAATTCTGTATTCACCCTCATTTCGCTACAAACATCAGTTTAGTGAGGTGAGGTGTTCCACCACGTGGACACCAATCACACAAAAACAAATTCCATAATTAAAATACTAATCCCCCAAAGTCCTCAGTCTATCATTGACACTGCGGGGGAATAATTCTCTCCGCAACCCTTTTTATCATCCGCCATGAATCAAACTTAAGAATTTATACCGATGGGGTTAACTCCCCCACCTCTCGGCGTCTCTCCCGGTGGCCAAAAACACGGACACGTCGAGGACATAATGCAAAACAATTATGCCCGGGTTTATTTATGGCACAATGTGCACCTCGACGTGTGTGATAGCCCCCTCTCTCCGCCCTTTTGCTTTCGGTGTACAACCCAACCTCATACCATCATCCTTTGTAGCCACCAACCGGGTTGAGGTACATTTTTTTTTCATACACAGTCGGTGTGTCACGGAGCTGGAGTCGGGTGTGAAACCATCGCGTGCTCTCGCGATAATAAACACTCTCGAGGGCGGCCCGTTCTCGCTGCATGCCGTGCCCAATTGTTTTCACCATCGCTTGTGAATAAAAAGGAAAAACATTGGTGTATGAAGAAGAAAAAAAAACATGTGAAAGAAAGTGTACGGATTAAATTTATGACTGAAATCCGTCGTAAGGGGGCATAACAGAGGAGAAGAACTATTTGGCCTCTCTCTGGATGCTTTATTTTTATTGTCTTTATTTATCGTGATTTTTATTCACTCGCTTTTTATCACGAGAACAATGCGACGACGGGAGTGGCACCGAGTGCTGCTCCACGTGTGTGGAGATGTTGCTGTAAGGGGTATCAAATGGTTTTACACGAAAAATTCCATTGGAGTCATGCGGTCGGAGTTCAAAGTCCACGATATGCAGTGGTTTGCTG